ATATGCTTTAAAGTCCCCATGTATTTCATTTTGTAGTAACCATTCATCCAGTACATGTACGTCAATCTGGTCTGCATTTTTACAAAAACGAAAGCTAAAACAAATAAGAGGAGTTATAGCAGGGGCTAAGTACGCAATGGCGAGCTTTGCGTCATGGTTTTGCGCCCCTTCATAATCATAATGCTTGACCATGCAGTGTCGAACATACTCGTACACGGTGAGTCAGATATACCCCCCCCCCCTCCCGAACACACATGTAAATATTAATTTTTTTCGGGCCCGTACAAGATCTTGTTCCTCATGCAAAAGTTGTAAGACATAAATCTAGCTCTGTGAATCGACCCACATTGCACCACCAGTTCTTGCGAAGTTCATGATGAGAAATTACTGTAACTAGAATAAGTTTCTAAATTCAAATTTCAGATCAAAGGCATATACTAATTTCAAAATTACGCAGCTAATTTATTCAAATTCAAACGAGATTTCTTTACTAAATATACTCTGTTTGTAATCTTAGGTTAAAATGTCGGGTCTGTTAACATCTTTTTCTCGTCGGTCACTTTTTGCAATACTTAGGGCGCTATTGACAAAAAACACGCTCTTGTCGATGATTAGAAGTACCGAAAATGTCCCGTAAAAAACTTATATGGTGCTGGTTCAAATCTAATCGTTCATACGGTTTTGGATTATCCCCTGGAAAAACTGCATTAAAACCCTGTACGAAAACCCGTCTTTGAAGTCGTTTTTACCATCAACATATTAATACGTCTGCATAAAACTCTTTTAACGATAAGCGAAATAAAACGATATACATTAAACTTTAAAGAACTGACTACAATAACCACATTCATTAACTATAATAGTTTAACAATAGCCGAAACCCCGGATTGAATAGACCCACCCCACTGTTATTGTCAGTGTACAAAAGATAACTGAAACTTCTAAAGATTCAATTTCTAACTTCTCTTTTTTTCATTTCTTGGGTTGTACCATGTTTATATTTGTTGTTCTATTATTAATGGTTTTACAAGACAGACAAGCCTCCTAATAAACCCAGATTTATTAACTTTTCAAAATTCTCATTTCAAGTATTATTTTTTTCTAAAGCCACAAAGATTATAATTATAGTTGTGAGAAGGGGACAAGAGATGGAGCAACCCTCTACGTATCACTGATAAACAATACACTAACAACCTTGTCAGCCTTATACACCTGTAAGCGGCTACACATCAAAAGGATATGTATCAAAACTCTTTGATATTGCCGACAAGGTGTACTGTCTTGTGGATTTTGAGCTATTTTTTATTAGAAGTAATACGGGCATCTATCTTGTGCTTGTTTTAGCTTTATAGCCGTGATATTTCTATGAATTACCGGTTTGGGTCCGAAGAGGGCCGTAACACTGGTATTTTCTTTCATAAAAGGGGGATTGTTAGTGTATTGGGCAGAGGGTAAATGCGTGTAAATTGATTTTAACGGTGTATTGAAGTGAAAGTGGGCGCTGTCCCTAGTTTTATTATATACAGCCACCTTTAAAACCAGTAGACTGTTGATTTAAACATGAATCATAACGTACTTGGGTCACACTATACTCATTCTCTAAGGTCGAAACAAAATATTTCAACACCATGTCTCACCCCACCCCACCCACACACGCCCCCGATTAAATAAGGGACGGGTGAGGTAGGTTAGAACAAAAATACAACATTCCGAAAGTACGAATTTTATGAAACCGAACCAAACAAGCAACTGGAGTAATTATTAGGAGTTCCCTGTGAAGGTTTCAGTTAAACTTGACGGTTGCCGAGCTTTTTTCTGGCTTCAAATGTTACATAAGATATTGTTTAGACAATTATTTACATGCCAAGCCCATAATCAGCTCTCGGATGACTCATGGAAACTTCCGATAAAAGGCCGGACTATGCAGTTATACACAGCTTTCTATTCTGATATTATTCCAAGTCATAATTAACTATGGGACGACTTAGATATTGAGTGGATTTGACATTGCCCGCCAAATCTGCGTTAAACGCATGACGTCATTAACACTTCCGACAAAAAGCCCGACAATGCAGTTGCACACAACTTTCTATTCTGATATATTAAAGTTTTATTTGAAACCCGATAAAAATAGCCGATCATCACCGAAATTTCCAATGTATTCATATTTCATTATCTGTTTTGGAACTATTGTAGCAAGAGCGTCCAATCTTGCATAATTCCTCTTTAATTATAATATAATATTACGTAGTATACTTGTTCCATTCATCTGTATTTAAAAGCGTATAAAAAAAGTTTATGACATAATATGCATAACTTTCTTCATTATGGTGTACCTCATGGGTATGTTTTGGTTCGAATCCTTAACTTGGCGGTGTCAGGTGCCACAGACTTCTAGAATAAACATACTCTGCCTCGTACACATCATCCAATATATTAACTTGAACAATGATCTGAGACGTGAATTTCAGAATATTTCAGTATTATTTTTCGAAAAATATTTACAAAAAAAACTCAAACTTTATTTATAACACCATTTCGAAACATTCCTTTGTTTTCTATAATCTTCGACATTAAGAATTAGGATTAAAATTTAACATTGATCCATTAAAAAAAAATCACCTTTTTTTATATATTCGATGCACATTATTTAAATGTAACTGGTAACTTGAAATCTTAAGAAACACAAAACAATTTATGTGGAAAACAATCACGGGTTTATGCACATAGCTTCATTTTCGAAAATTGTTCTTGGCATGTATGCTTGATAACGATAAGAGAACACTTGTCGAAACGTCGTACTATATGTGTACAAACCAGTGATTATTTTTCACATAAATTATGTTGTGTCTTTTAGTGTGCTCAATCACTAAATGCCACTAAATGATTGCAGTTTGATAAAATACAAGATAATTTCACACATCAGACGTGTTAGTTATTTAATCAGGATTTACTGTGGCTAATAAAATTCCACTGACTGTTAATCTATATGCATATATGTAATTCAAATATGACCCTGATTTTTAAAAAAAAATAAGATACACATATCTGTACGTTTACTACAATAACATGCATGTATCTAGGTCAGAACTAGGTTAGGATATTTAGATTCCAAAAGAAAAGCTCCTTTCAATAAGGATGTACGCAATAATAGGGTCAATACTGTAAAATTTTGATTTTCAGGAATATATTTAAGGAGAAATGAGGTTTAACGTCCATACGGCACAAAACTGATAATTTCGGGACGTGCGCGCGGGGAATTTAGCTGTGGGAGGAAGCCGCGGGTCCGGATAAAACCCACGAGTTTGGTCAGGCGACTCAACTCTTGGTCACGCAACTTGACCCAATGATAGATCTTAGGCTGTACACGTTAAACCTTTCTGGAAAATATGATAGAAATTGCGCCAATAATGAAAAATTGTTTAATTATTGGAAGCCTATTAAAGGACTAATCAGAAACAACACCTGGTGAAATCAACTCAACACCTCGCTTTACGAGGAGTCGTTTAGGTTTCATTATGTGGAAAATTTGAAGCAAATCTATTTATTCATTGCACTGGGACACAAGTAGAAGTGTTATATACTGGTTTTGATGGAGATCAGAGAACTACTAAGAGTATGAGAGAATTAGTGACTAGTATACATGGCACTGATATTGTTCCTCGGCGAAAGTCATAATATACATCCCTTCCATGGCACACCGCCTTTAAATTCGTTACTAATAGATGACAATTAACAAGTATGAGCGTACTATATAGACCAGGGACTGAGCTTGACATCATTACAACCATCGTAGAATCATATTAATGCGCAATATTGTACAAGAGACAAGCATGGAACTTCTATACACAGAAAAACAGGATACACATCGGGTATAATAGGGGTTATTAATCAGGACCATAATTTATACATACAGAAATAATGTTGATATGCTTGTGCCTAGCTACCATGCTAGACCAGGGTGTCCACTCTTTAGCTGAAGACTCCCGTCTTAGACCGGGAGCCCAGGGGGTCAACCTAGCTGAAAAGTGTACCAATTTTCTCCTATATGGTATCAATGTATGTATATCTGGTATCATCAGAATGTAAGTCTGCCGGGTTTCTGGTGGTGGGTGTGGTATTCCACAAACTGTCTGGCAGTGGTCATTCATGACTCCTGTGGTGGTACTGAACAACTCCAAAGCTGTTTTAGGTGGTACAGATTTCAGCTAATCTAGCCTAGCTTTGGTCTAAATATTAGATAACTCTTGTCAGGGATACTCCATCACTACAAATGTCTGGCAATTACATAGCTCTGTCAGGGGTACCCCACCACTAGAAATGTCTGTCAGAGTGTTTTGTAATACCTGAAGATGTACAGTACATTGCTGTGCGATTTTCATGTGGTACACTTTTGAGCTAATCTAGACTAGTTGGGGGGCATGGCATTTTGGGCGTGGAATACCACACCCACCACCAGAAACCCGACAGACTTACATTCTGATGATACCAGATATACATACATTGATACCATATAGGAGAAAATTGGTACACTTTTCAGCTAGGTTAACCCCCTGGGCTCCTGCTCTATCTCTCCGCTTCCCCCCTTTTCGGTTATCTTTTTAAGAGTATTATATACATGTATCATTTGGTTTACGTATCCATATGCCCTTTTTAGTCGAAGTTGCTAGAAACAGACATGGCATATCACAAGTTGCGCCTGCGTCGCGGTTAAACAGTATATCTCTGTTATGTTACATTTACACTTGGTCAATCGAGTTTATCATCTCTTAATTAACAATATATATCGAACTTCTGTCTGAAGGACACCAGGAATTGTTACATTTACACTTGGTTAATCGATTAATTAACCACATATATTAAACTTCTATCTGAAGGATATCAGAAATTGTTACATATACACTTGTTCAATCGAGTTTATCATCTCTTAATTAACCATATATCGAACTTCTGTCTAAAGGACACCAGGAAATGTTACATTTACATTTGTTACATTTTAGGTTAAGAGAGGAAGTGAATTAACGTTGGGCGCAATGATGCCTCGGTAAGTAAGACGGTGGCTTGCTAACCAGGGGGTCTCGGTTTCACTGCCGGTTTTGGCCGATAAAGTTCCTGAGGGTTTTCCGGTGTGGTTTTTCCTAGTCAGTGGTACAGGACTGAGCAATCTGATTAAAATACAGATCTATATTTCGTTTCGTTTTTTTATACTTTCGATGACCTTCACTACATGAAGATCTGACAAGTTATAGCGATAGGTCACGTCAGGGGTCAAAAGACCGACTTATGACCCTATGACGTCAGACATTTGATTAACCAATCAGCATTGATGTTACTAGTGGATTACCCACAGTTCCGTGAAAAACACGCCTAAAGCTCGCTGAAACAGACCGTTTCATTGGCTTATCCCTGACACCATTCAGAACACGAGTAAAATAACAACCCTTCCAGATCCAAGTGTAGTAAAGACAAGTAAAACGCAATTTTGAACTATAAAAACGAAACGAAATAGGATCTGTGTTTTAACCAGATTGAGGACGGAGGGTCTGGCAAGCAGCAGTGTCTAGTCGTGTGGATGAACTGGAAGACCAAGGTCCCGTGTACACATTGGTGTGCACATAAACAAACCCTTGACAATTAGAATTCGAAATAAGAGTAGGCCGTAGTGCCACAGTATGCTCAATCGGTGCTGAAAAGTAAGACATTAAACCTCATGTCATTTCATTGCATAAATGCAAATACCTCGTGGTTCTGATAATAAAATGTTGCCATAAACTGACACGAATCTGAAATGTTTTAATACAGTTCTTTAATGTATTTACAGGACGCCCGTTTGAAGTCAGTTGATTCATTCATAAGTAGATGAAAGGAGCGATTACCCGGACCCAAAACAAATAAATGGTGGTTTACTATAGTTTATTGTAAAGAAATTTTCTATTAGTTGTATGGGAAAATAATTTCTGTGGCCTTTCTTTTTATTATTATTATTATTATTTATATGGTATAATTGGTATTTTGTATTCGTGAGAAGGGGATCCGCGGTGGCTCTGAGAGTAAGGCTCTGGCCTACTTACCAGGTCTCGGACCTTGGGATTTTTATGGTGAGTTTCCCTCTTGTGGGGAATCGGTATTCTTTAGAAACCAATGCATATACGTTAAAGATACAGAATATATTAAATGAGCTATGGGCGCTTCCACACCCGCGCCTCTACTCACCTCTTCCCATCAAGACTTTACAAATGGAATATCCGGTCGGTGATCCAAAGAAGCTAATTTTAGGACAAAACCTCACTGGTTACCGTCCTATATAAGTAAATGAAATAGATTATGGTGCAAGAAGACCTCGCTTCAATTTGCTTTAAAGCATTTATATTGACGCCATTCTATAACCACCCTCTCTATGTAATAAAACGCATGTTTACTTATACATCAAGATAACTCACCATAAAAGTAGAAATTTACCCTCAAAGCAACATTTGAAACGATAGTACCCTCTTCTTTATATTATCAGTCAACATAATAACAGTTTTTATTTCTCTTTTATCTTCCTTCATGTCTACCAGATTAAAGTTATTATGAATAAAATAACCACAAGTCAACATTATATGGAACGGTACAACGTTAACTCTTAAATGTGGGGAGTGGCATCTGGTGTTCTAGAATGAATAATAACAAAATATTATATTTCAAGAAAGTTCAATAGCGTTCCCATTTGTTTTAATACCACGAAGAAACACCAGATCTGTTCGTGTGCTAGATGCAGGTCCGGGTCAGGGGTGGGGTTGGAGCTGACTGGGCATTATTGTGTGAGTGTGACTGACAATGACCAGAATTTGCCACCTTTCACTTAATCCTGCTATTTGTGTGTTTGAAAATACCCCCTTCCCCAACCAAAGGATCTCAAGAATGCCCAATAGCGTGTGTTTGATGCTTTTTGTGTGTTTGAAAATACCACCCCAGCTACCAATAAAATGAAATGGGGTTTAACATCCTACTGCTCCCCCCCCCCGGACAACTGATACAGTTGCTGTTTATGGGCTTCTGGAAGTCCATTAGCATTCCCGTCTTTTTTTAAAACCATAAACACTCCCAGCATCAAATACAAACCAAATTGAATTTGGGAACTTGGGAACACTTATTACAAATTATTGAGGTAAAAAACTAATCTGAAAACAAAAAGTACTTAGTAGATCTTCTCAAAATATTTAAGTTTTGAAAACCAATCAGAACATCACACACAAGAATTCATTGGTCAAGACACTCAAGAACTAATAATAATTAAATTGGTTCGGCCTAATGAACTTCTGAATGGCAAAGAACATGAATGATTCTTGTCGTATCTTTCTACTTTATAATTCATGATTCGTCATTTCCATACGACCTACTGCATATTAATTTACTATGGATGAGTCGTGCAATTGAAGGGTAAGCAGAGTATATAGTTAACTGTCAATCTTTCTATTTGCCTACGTTCTCTAACACCGATAATCTCCCTTTAATCTCCAAGGTGATCATCACCATGGTGTCCAACCCAGTGTCCTCCATGTTAATTTGCCATCTCATGGTAAAGTCAGCTCACTTAACCTACTAAAATATTCTCTCATTAAAGTTTCACGTTAGAGAACATCCAAGTGTTAATTCCAGTTGCCATGTTCGCATTACATAGGGTCGGGTTCGCATAGCAACGCTATCTCAACCCTGAAGCTCAGACTTACTAACTTTTCATGGCGGCCATTTTGTTTCAAGTTCCTGCTAAGTGTGCTTAATTGGCGGTGGTCTGAATTTTAGGATATTGACGATTTGACTATAGAATCCGTTGACTTGTACATGTTAAGTAACTCTGAACATGCAGCTATCAGTTAGAGCTATGAAATATAACGGTAATAACAGTAACCGATAATGACATTCATGTATTAGCCCGGATCAAGTACAAGGATGCTTAGGATGTAATTTTAACTAAATAATCCACATTAAAGCTGTCATTTATTTAGGGAGCCGCGGTGGCTGAGTGAGTAAGACGTTGGTTCGCTTACCTGTAGGTATCGTGTTCGATCCCGGTGTTGGTCGAGAAAGTTCATCGGGATTTTCCATCGTAGGTCCTACCCCCATCCCTTGTCAGTGGTGCAGGGCAGAGGGCCTGGCAAGGGACAAAGTATAGTCATTCGATTGGGACAAAAACCAAAGGTCTCGTGTACACATTGGCGTGCACTTAAAAGAACCCTTGGCAGTTGGAATTCGATATAAGAGTAGGCCGTAGCGCAAATTGCCCACATAACGTAGAGAGAGAAATGGGGTTTAACGTCCACTCAACACAAACTAGGTCATTTCGGGATTAACATATGGCTCAATTTTATTTCAATCATTCGCTTGCGCGTAGGGGTCTTTATCAGTGGGAGGAACCGGAGGACCTGGAGAAAACACATAGGTTTGACAGGCGATCCTACTCATTGTCACGTACAACCAGGGAATCGAAACCAGGCCAGTTAATTCAATGACAGACCTTATGATATAGCGCGCACGCGCTAACCATACGGCCACCCAACCCCCTCCCTCATAGCATAAATAAATGATAAAAATGTTCTGCCCCGACTGGGTTAATGAAGACGGGCATCATGCAGTGTCCCTCATAACCCAGAAGGAGCAGAACATTTTTGTCATTTATTTATCCACAGATCCACGCAACCGAGTGGCATGATTGATGTCTGTTGGGCGATAACGGATCGCGTTACATTACGATATTTCATTCATTTGCCCTACCTTAAGACAAACCGTGGGCCACAACATCCGAGTCACTACATGGACACTGTTTTATTTTTCCTCCAGCTCTTGTACGGTTTACCTAAACATCAAAGATAAGAACTGTGTGGTCTTAGTTACACAAATAAAATAAAAGAGGGTTAGTTTTGTGTGTCAACTCTAAGAACTGTAACTTGGTTGATGAGTTGGGGTTACTATCCTATCGCATTTCGGTAGTTATTCTGTAAAAGCACGCGATCCAAGCAAATAAAATTGCATGATTAGGCCTACAAAGTTTGAAATAGGCTAGGTGTAGGCTATATGTCGTGACAAAATAGAAAAGGTTTCATTATTGGTAAGCCTGGATTAGCTAGGCCTATATACCGATCATCTGCTTTCATTTAATAAAACTGAAAAGGGTTAATTAGTCTTTTTGTATACAAAACAGTATACTAATTGTTGGATATGACGGCCATTTAGGGCAGAGATCTATTCTCGAAGTAGAGATTCTGATAGTTCTCTGTGTGCAAAATGTAAACCGGATTCTGATTGCAAATTTCATTATCAGTTAATCTTTCCAATACTTATAGGCCTAAAGAAACTGCCGATTAACAAATCTGTAATCCTACGACCTATCACATAATGTGTCGTTTTTGTCAAAAATTTTAGTGTCACATTATTTGACAACTACTTCCGGTCGTATACAGAGCATGTGTCGTACTGAACATTTAAATATGGCCAACGCGTGCTTTTACTAAACAAATTGCAAACGAAACACAATTTCTTAAATTCCTTGTTAAAGGCTGAATCACAGGAAAAACTAATTTGACGTGACAAACTTCTTATTTGTTTCAAATTCTTAAAATACGCGTTGATCACCTGTGTTTACAGATTTCATGACGTCACCTAGCGACCCACAAGTCCCATACTGCACACCGGCCACACACAAACCGGTGACGCAATTTTGTGTACACAAGTTGAATGGAAATAATGCGAAGTACGCAGGCGTTGACAATGAAAATGTATTAGGATGCTTAAAGTTGTCAAGTATTGTTGCTACAAGTATTGTAATTCTTTTCAAAGCTTTAATTCTTTTTAATCAAACATGGTCGAGTATTCAACTCATGTTGGTTATGTAGCTCTGGGAGCGATGAATGATCGTCAATCAAATTGAAAAATGGAAATGTAAATATTTTGGAATTGTCGTAATGGGGAGGTTTAATCGTGAATGGTGTGTTAGGTGGGAAAACTGAAGTGGTTTTTAATTATCTATTGATGCCATTTTAAACTCCAGGAATTCACGAACCGTGTAATTGTCGTGTTATTAAAACTTACTATATGTATCCGTAAACGGTAGACTCGGTAAAGATCAAACGCCTTAGGTGGATTTTGTTAGTAGGGGGTAAGGTAAATAATCTAAATATTTGCTATTAAGATCCCCGACACCCAAGTTGTCCTTTATTTACTTTATGAAGATTAATGCGCCTTTGATTGCTCTTGTTTTCTGTATAATTTGTAAATGGTGGTCTTTATGTTAAAATTACTATGAGATTGTTTGATGCTAAGAAATGCAAATGTTAAAATTTATTTTCAATTGATTGTTTACATTACCACTTTGATGGCTTTGTAATGTATTTCATTTGGGTATAAAAAGGGAAATGGTACGATCATAGATGGTTTAATATCCAATGGACTGTTTGGTGGCCCTGCTGACGAACGTTTGACCACAAGATTAACACTTCTATAAAACATCCTAAACTGGGTCATTTCGAGACTAACATGGTTACAATTTTATTTCAATAATTCGCTTGTGCGTATGATCTTTAGCAGTGTGAGGAAACCGGGGAAACCTATCATTGTCACGCCAGTTGATTCAATGATAGACCTAATGATCTAAAGCGCATGCGTTATTCTACTCGACCACCGTTCACGGCTGATCTATATTCAAACTGAAAATAGCGTTAAATTGAAACATAAAGCATCCTAAAGAAACAAGTCTAATAAAATCAGATGCTATACATTTCAACGGTCAATTGCACTTTTAAGATATTCGTCTCAATTCTTATATACTCATTTCGTCTGGTATGATATCCAGCCTCTTCTGATAATTAACTCTTCGTCTTTCAAATAGAGCGAGCCATTATTTACAATGCATGTACGGTACGGTGTCATTATGTCCCGATGGATTTGTTCTCTCGTCCCATTTGTCGTGTTACAACCCCCCCCCCCCACCATTCTTCTTCCTGTTTCAAAAATGCAACAAAATCGTGTTGTGGTATCAGGTGCTCCAGAAAGACTAATCATACCCTTCCGTTTGCGCATCTCTCATAACTACTTCTAGCCAACTGGAATTATAGTTGAGACTTTGATCTTAGAAACCGATAGAAGCCTAGTTGAGAAGGTCACAAGCATCGTCACCTGCCCTGTAGCTTTTATTTAATGAATGAGTAATTTTATTTTAGAACGGGTATCAAGTGTTGTAGATAGAGTGGGTACAACACCAGCCCAGTGGCTTGCAGAAGGGTGGAGCGGAAAGGGCATCCAATCAAAAAGTAAAAAATAGAATTATTTAATATTATCGCTGCTTTTTGGGCCCTGGCATCACCAAACCTCTGCAGGCTACTGCTCCTGTCACTTCTTCTACTTGAGCGATGGTTTGGAACTGGATTTCAGGTAACTTAAGGTAACTTCGGGTCGGAGCCCACCATCAGTGTCATCCACACAACGCTTTAAATGCAAAGGTACAACAAAAATTTGTTAGCAATGTAAATTCCTTAAACGACTGTAGTATCAGGTGTTATAGAAAGAGTAAGCACACCTGTCTCGTACACGACATCCATATCTAGGTATATC